CACTCCACGCCCCCTGCGGACCCCCACGCAGGCCTACCCTTTGGGACACTTGATGTTGGGCGGGTCGCTGAGGAACCAGGGGAGGTACTTGTGGAACTGGTCCACCGATGGCCGCACGGGGCCAAGGGTGAAACTCACACAGTTCTTCAAGCAGGCCAGCGAGGCTGCAGAGAGAGTGGGGGTGAGGAGCGGCGCCCTCCGGCCGCTCTGTGCCCCTCATGCCCAGGCACCTGCCCCCTGCAGGCAGCAGCAGCCTGTGTGCCCAAGAGCACACTCCGTTTTCCTATAACTGTGCGGGGGGGGGGGGCTCTCTCCATCATGGAAACTGCCGACCCCTATGAAGGGGTGAGGAAGGGAAGTTTGGGGCAGAGAAACAGCGCACGGCCTACGGGGCCTCCCCACCTACAAACGCAGCTGCTCCGGGGCCGGGCCCGGGGCCACCTGGGCTCACTCCCCTCTCCCGCTGCATGAGAACCAGCGTGCCCAGAGCGTGGGCACAGCTCAGGAGAGTGTGTGAGTGCCCAGTGTCCAGCCCCCTTGGGCTCGGGCACCCACACGTGTTCTGAGCCTGGGTCCCATCCCAACTGACCCCTTAGGAGGGTGTGAGGGGCTAAGGGAGTCTCCCCAGTTCTCTCCTTTCTCTCTCTCAGTTCCCCAAGTTGTGGGGGCCATGAGCCCCCAGAGGCCTCTCACTCACTGACAGTCGAGGGGCAGAACTGGTCCTTGTTGGGGCCAAAGGCATAAAGGCGGCAGCAGGAGGATGGTGTCAGCCAGTCAATGAAGTCGTCCACCCAGGAGGAGGCGGGGATGGCCAGGTAAGACCTGGGGGTCGGGGGAGGAGCTCAAGTGGTGGGTCCTTCACATGGCCCCACCCCCACACTGGGCCTCCCCAGGCACAGCAGCAGGTGGGCAGCAGGATGGGGCCAGGAAGGCAGGAAGGGGGGCCAGAGGGAGTGGGGGACACAGACGGGGACACTCACTGCTCGGGGAACTCGGTGGCGTACTGGATCTTCTGGGTTAGGGAGAAGCTTTCGCAGCCGGCGCTGGAGCAGATGCTGTTCATGCCCGCGATGCTGGAGAAGTTGTAGCCCCCGGTGGTGACAAAGTAGACCGGGGCCCCCACCTCAAAGTAGCGGTTCAGAAAGAGGAAATAGTCGAGCAGGTACGAGTCCTGGAACGGAGGACAGTCCATGAGGCCCGACCAGAGGCATCACAGGGGCTCGCTCCCACTCCCACTCACAGGGCACTCACAGAGGCCCCTGTGGGCAGATGAGGCACCTTTGGGCACCATCAAACAGACCCACACACACATCATAGGCATCCCAGAAGGAGGCAGGAGGATTATGTGCAGAAATAATGGCCAAAATTTCCCAAATTTGATGAAAGATAAAACATCCAAGAAGCTTAACAAACTCCAAGAGCCTGTCCAGTGTGGTTCAGTTGGTTGGAGCGTCATTCCAAACTCCAAAGGTGGAGGGTCCAATTCCTGGTCCTAGCATACACCCAGGTTTTGGTTTCGATCCCCAGTCAGGGTGCGTGAGGGATCTCTCTCTCTCTCTCTCCCTCTCTCTCTCCCTCTCCCTCTCTCCCTCTCTCCATTTCTCCCTTCCTCTCTTCCTCTCTCTTCCTCCCTCCTTCCCTTTCTCTCTAAAAAAAAAAAAATTAATAAAATAACTCCAGAAACCCACACCAAGGCACATTATAATCCAGCTGTTGAAAGACAAAGACAGAGCCACCTTTGAAGAAAAACCAAGATGGCGGCATAGGTAAACACCGGAGTTTGCTGCCTCCCACAACAACTTCAAAACTACAACTAAAAGACAAAACGGACATCATCCAGAACCACAGGAAGGCTGGCTGAGTGGAAATTCTACAACTAGAAGGAAAGAGAAAAGCACACTGAGACTCAGAGGA